CCCATGTCTCTGACTGTAAAATATATTTTGTCATTATGTCTCAAATAAACTCTTGATTTTAGATTCATTAAGGCATCAGATTCAATGAAGGACCATTAATAATATAGCATTGATATTGCCTGAGCACAGATGGCAATAAAGTTACCATTGCAATTACTGGCAATCATTACTTTTGTTATTAATAACCAGACATTGCATGATGTATCTACCTTTCATCTACCATGTATTTAAAATTTTTCATATTGTATGTACTTTTGCTAACACCATTAGTTTTACTTTCATGTATTTACTTTTATTTTGCTATAAGCTTATTACAACATAAATATTGATAGATAACTACACTAAATATGTATTAAGTTATATTTTTAAAATTATGGTTTATTTTTTTTATGTAAATATCAGTTATCCTGAAATGAACGACAGAACTTACATGGTAGGTAAGTGTGTGTGTGAAAACAATTTTTACTGGAGGAGTACTTAACAAGCTGGAATAATGCTATTATGCTAGCTAGCATTATAGGATTATGGGAACTATACAACATGCAAAATAGTTTTTAAATTTGACCTACGATACCTTCATGGCGATTGTTTCATAGCAATGGCAATTATAAAAAATCAATTTCATTAGTCGCAAGTCCTAATTCTATATAATTCTTTGCTGCATTGATAAGTTTTTAGTTGTCATATCTACACTCCTTGTTCATTTATTTTTGTACTTGCATGTTACCATGTACTACATTAAACCATGTACTACATTAAATGAGCCTTCTTTTTCTCTCAATTTGTAGTAAATTCATGACAAGTACAGTAGTAATAATTCTAAAGTAGGTTGAGGTATTTAATTATTGTAATATATATTTATGAAAATTTTGCACAAAATTTAAATGCAGTATATTCCATGTGTCAAAACTGCTTTTTAAGAACATTATTCTATGAGATTTTAATTCTATATTATGATATTTTGTAATCATTTTTTGTAGTGCAGCTGGTATTATTTGTATAAAACAGTGCATTTTGTACTTTATGGATGCTTATTTATTAACAAAATGTGGCATGCACCATTGCAAATGTTGAGTTTTGCCTTGTGAGCATTTTTGCCTTAAAAGCATCACATTACCTTTTTTAGAGTGTCTATATGTAGATTAATGTTTATTAAACTTGAAGTTATGTGTGTGTACCTTAATAGGTCTGTAAAAACTCGGCTGAGAGTACTAATACTAGTACAAAGTTAACAGCTCTACATTTTTTTGCTTTTATTTACTGATTGTTTTATGTTGTTTCTTTTAATGATCAATTTTTT